GCCAACTTCCGTATTGAGTTCACCATAACTTACCAAAAATATATATTTTATATCTTATAGTATACAATAGAGCTTAGCAGCAGGCTGATCGAGCTCCGCTTGTACAAGATTTTTTTTAACGTTTGAAGGATTTTGAAGTTCTGCCAATAGAGCTCTTTCTAAAATATCGCGGGGTTGTGATCCACATCTCGTAGCAACTGAACAAATTTGATAAAAGAGTCAGTCTTGTTTCAAAATTGTGTCGCACAACTATTGATTCGGTACTAACTCATTATTTTTCCATAATTCTGATTGAGTGGCCACTAAATTAATTCGGCATAAAATGCATTTTTGTTTCCCTTTGAAAATTGGGCCCAACATCCATTGGWACTGGATACCAACCCATAATGTAATTTTCGCAGTTCGTTGATAATGACTGCAAAAAGCCGTAACTATGCCTGTGTATTATTAACGGATGATTCGAGTAGAGTTGCTCTTTTCAGTATTATTTGGCTTTTCAACATGGAATAACTTACGCCTGAACAACGTTTACAAATTACCATCACGAATCTGGAGTCCTAGCATTCATTACTGGATAATATTCGACCGGATAAACCACGTCCAGCACGCAGTGAAGAAAATACAGCAGCCATAGCTGAGAATATGCTTCGTGAAGACCGTTGAGTGCCGAMGGACTGAACTGAAGCCGATCGACCTTCCCAAGCGATTCGCTTTTCGCTCAGCGRTAGTGCTCATTTCCGRCTCAATKKGTATGTCAACAAYCAAAATTGCCGAATTTGGGATGAAAAGAAAACTGAAGAGATTAGAGACTTATTATTTCATCCAGAAAAAAACAAAAGTTTAATGCTTGTGGGCCCGTGGTATCACCTTCCCATGTTTCTTCAAAAATAATGTCGGTGAGAATCTAACCATCAAAAACGACCGTTAGCGCAGCATGATAACCAATTAGTTGCTACCTGAATTTGAACGTTTTGGTGTGGTAGATTGGCTACCAAGATCGTGTGATATCACACCGTTAGACTTTTTCCTGTGGGAATATCTTAAATCTGAAGATTATGCGGGCAGTTCCGCTTCGATTCAGGCCTTGGAGCAAAACATCACGCGTGTCCAGTTACCTGGCGAAAAGCTCGAAACAAGTTATAGAAAATTTGACTCAACCAATGGACAATTTTAGATGTACACGCAGCCAACAATTGAAAGAGATAATCTTCAAAAAATAAATGCCAAAGAATGTTCTTTCGAATGATAATCAACATTCCGCATTGAAATTCGTTCGAATACACCATGGTATTTCCAGAAGTTTATCAGACAGATTTTTGTATAGTCCAGTGTAGTAGTATAAGTAGTAGTTTAATCTAGCTGCTCTACTGAGATGATTTGTGCCTCAGAAATTTACCTAATTATACATTCATACTTAATTTCAAAGTTCTCATCCACCATTTCGGCCTGAAACTTAAATCTACAATCATTTCTCTTAATTGCTCA